GCAAATGAATTTGACTTGATCGAGCTGCGATTTATTAATTTTTATTTTCGTTGGATCAAGACGATGAAGTTTCAAGTTATCAAGTAATCAACTATCTGCACTCTGGATCAACTTAAAGCCATAATAGCGGGAGGATAGAACATCATTGTATTTTCATAAAAACAGAACCATTATAACAGATTATCAGGAAAGCCCTAGAGTATAGGATCCCGGAGAAGAAAAACTACAAGGGATAGCCCTATGGGGTTGTACGCAATGGTGACATAGAACTACGTGGTCTTATATAATAAATGTTATTTGTTAACTGCAGCAGGAGCTTGTGTTTTTTTGAAGGAATAGGAAGTTGAGCGGGTTCTCTCTGTTTTTACTATTTACTATAACTATGATTGCCCTGAAAAGAACCTTTTGATATGAATTTTAGTTGGGAATTGTTCAGAAATTTAACTCTTTTGGAAAATCTTGGTGGCCCTGAAAAGGGCCGATGGTAGTACAGACTTAAAGCCTTTGGAAGATGATGATGACGTGTAGGCAGCTGGATCAGCAATTCGGACCGGACAATCCCATATTCTTCGGTTCAATGATTGGGCACTCGCAAGAGTCTCGGCCTGCGACAGGTAGGAAGGCCACAGAATATCAGTGTCCACCCAGATAAGGCTCCTTCTCTTTTAAGTTTTTCTCGTTAAACTTCTTACCTCAACAAGTTGGTAAATCTTAGCCTTTAGCAGAAAGACGCTTAACACTTTTTTGGTGAATTTGTTGGGGAAGCAGCACATGCATGAACGTAATTGGTGGATTAGTTAGTTATTTCGACTCTTTTGGACAATGCTTGACATTTACCACTTCTTCAATAGTTTATTGTTGAAAATGAACAGTCGGAAGCTTTGTCATTGAAGCGTAGAAATATTTCTGATCGATTGGTAACAAAATTATTGAAATTGGTCCAGGGGCAGCTGAGTTATTAACGTTCAAAATCTTTCATAATTTCGTTACATGTTCCATAACCGGTTTCACAAAGTGTACTTCCATATAGAAATCACAGACGTAGTCCTACGTCAAAAAGTTGGAAGATCATACTTTCACATAGAATACCAGCGAAATATTGGCAAGAGGCGGCTAATAAAAGAAGCTAGCTTAAAACAGCCACGGCAAGAATGCTCACTGAAATGTTGGCATCAGAATACAAGGACTCGGAAGATACTCTCATTAATTTAAAATTTCATTTTATGCAATTATTACATATATTATACTGTCATTACTGTTCATACTATCATTCCATTTATTTAGGCATATTCAATTGACCTGCATTGGGTTCATAAAGTCATGAAATTGGGTTGTGAGCGGAATGCTTAAGCAAATCAGCAATAAAAGGTTATCTTCCATTTAATTCCACTTAATTAGTTTTTGTATCTATGACCGATACGTATTTCATCAGTGTCATTTCCACTAAAGATTTATCAAAATTGAACCCCCCTTAAGTACTCATCCCCTAAGTTAAAATGTCAAGATCACAGGTATAAAAATGAAACTACAATGTGTTGAATTGGAAACTACCTATCTCACAATTCAGCATGGAGAGTGTATGGGAGCCGTTCGCTAATTTTAGACATTATAGTTTGACGTGATCACCAAGTTCCACTCACGCTCTGGAATGTGGCCTTGAGACTTGAGATTTGGCCTTCATAAGACTCCCTGTCTCGATTAAAAATTCTGTTCTAGTTTCAAATTACATCAGTCCTCATAAAATAAAGTGTGGTCCACTTAGAATCCAGACACTTTATTTATTCTAAAGCACAGCGTCTAGTGGTTGGATTTGGAATGTTTTGACAGCGATTTGTTTTGAAATTACACGTTTCGTCTTAAACGTGCAGTATTAAAAAAGTTGTCCTTACTAGATGGAATACGAGAAAAGAAAATTGATCCTGCACACCCACATCGAAAACCCGGTCTGTTAAATTCGAAAACCTATGTCAAATTGGATTTCAGGCAGGTTCCCGGACAAAAGTTTTATCTGGTCACAGCACGGGGTGATGTTCCCAGCAAATTCAAGTTTGTGTACCAAGCTTTTCATCACTAACAACACGATGGACTCGCATGAGTGCCTAATGAAATGTATACTACCTTTCATTAAGGCTCACAAAAGTGAAGTTCTGACCAGGTTTGACAAGCTGCTACTACAGCCAGGAGGTGCTACAGTGGATTTCGTCAACAAGGATACCAATCCACCCAACTGCCCGCAATTACACCCAATCGAAAGGTTTCGGCAATTATCAAGCGGAAGTTAAAGAAAACAGATGGCTCGATGTTATAAAAAGTGGCAGCTGAGGTTGACCAGGCCAGTGTGTGGCAGATGATGGCGGGAATTCCAAAGAAAGTCCGCGAGTTCATCCAACGGCAGTAATTTTGCAATTTTTTTTTATGAAAGTACCATTAAATACCTTAATTTTGACTTACGTCAAATCAATCCCGAGAAACACCTAATTTTAGGCGTCCAAATTCTAAGTGGTCCAGACTTTACAACAACATTGCGAACGGCCTTACGGTGAGAAAATTCCCATGCCAAGGACCCTTTCTCGTACCATGGAGTAAATTGAGATAAGAAACGAATCGTGAACTTGCTGAAAACTTTTAGCGATTAAACAAACGGTTTTGGAAATTTATGTATATCGAGCTGATTGCATTTTCCTCCACATATTGCTATAAATCATAATAGCATCCCGAATACTGCTTAAACTGCTTACCTGGCGCTTACCACATTTAAAATTAGGGAATATTTGAAAAATGCGGTGCCTTCCCGTTTTTGGCAACACGAGGTTTCTTTCTTTTTTTGCATTCCATCAAATGTGTCGAACGCTTTATTCAATGTGAGATTGAACTGGACCACTCTTCATTTCTTGTATTTGTGTGGTTTACATGTATTACTTATCAAGTGATTCGTTTTTTCAACTTTAGTTCTTTTGAATTTCAATTATTATTAGTTACAGTTCCTAGTCCAACCATGCCTGTTTTGGAGAATGACCACCTTGGTGGGATTGGTTTGTTTTAAATTTAAAATGGAAACTACTTATAACTACTATTTACAACTACACCTAACCTACAACTACAATATACACCTAATCTACTATATACAAATTGCTTATCAAAGCATGTTCTGATAAAATATATTTTTGTGCAAATTTAGTGTTAATTTCATTAATACTGGAATCTATTTTGGGAATGCCTGCCTCTTCGTGTAAATTTGTTATTCTAGTATCGAAAGGACGATCAAGTACCATCCTCAGCACTCTATTCTGAGCAACCTGGATTTAGTTCCTGTGAGTCTGTGCACATGATTCCCACACCGGAGCTGCGTAGATGATCGAAGGTGCTATGATTTGTTTGTAGACAGCCAGTTTGTTTACCCTTGAGAGGTGGGATCTACGGCAAATCAGCGGATACAGACACCTAACCAAGGCGGAACACTTGACTACGGTTTTCTCCACATGCGAGCGGAATAAATAGGAGCTTTTCGTCAAACAACATCCTGAGCTACACAGCAAAAAAAGTTGTTGAATATTACATCGAAACTGCTGCAACCAGGTCAATCCATAGGTTGTGTAATATCACATTGTACGATGTACATCGATTTTGCGAACAAAATTACATCCATTGATGTAATATTGTATCTGCGTTTTGCTATTACATCATTATTTCATACATCAGCTTGAATTACGTTGATCGATATTACATTTTTTTTGCTGTGTAGGTTACTTCGGTGGACCACTCAACCCTTGTAAAATCCATGATAACAGTACAAGATGTAGCCGGTTTCAGTTTGGACGATTGCCGATGGAGGAACATGATCGCTTGAGTTTTGGAGGCATTGATTTTGATTTTCCACGTGGTGGCATAATCAGCAACTGGACCACTCTTTCTTGGGTGTTGCTAAAAATGGATAGGTACTGCGCCAGGATTTTTTTTTAATTACTGGATATTCAGGGAATATCAGGGAATTTGGTTTTCTTCATTGAATTGGCTGTGCTGTGAAACTTTCATCGTTCACAACAAAAAATAAATTTTAATATTACATCCAAGAGGATACACTTCAATCATGTCTAAAATCTTATGTAATTTTTATTGCCACAAAAATAAACAAATGCAGTAAAAGCTGCGTAATGTCAGTTCATGCATTGTATTAATGATAATTTTGTCCTTTATGGCATGTAATATTACACCATATTGTTGACACGATTGCAGTGCATCCAGTTTGATGTGATACCAAAATTAATTTTTTGCTGTGTTATTTTTAATTTTAAATCCAAATTATTTCTTTATAAAAAGGACGCTCTCGAGGAAATTTAAGATTAAGTATTTGGTCAGTGGAACATAAGTTAAAGTGATATAATCCTACCAAAATCATGTTTATCATTTCATCAAATTTCAGTTTGAAGTTGGAATTTAATGATGTTGTCAGTTTTCATTTGAGGTTCTTCGCTTTGGGCTGGTTCGCCTCTGTTGAATGATATGGAGACGCTTGGTACAATGTAGTAATTTCGTTTATCAATTTCAGCTGAAAATGAATCGTTAAAGAAGTCATAAACACATCCGAATTTGCATCACTGCTGCTCGTAGGTACATCATTTGACATTGTCCGGATCGCTCCCAGACATAGCAATCAGCCGTATCGAGTGCGCCAATTGTTGCGTCTGCTGTGATGTTTGCTTCCCATCACCACCACCAGCAACAGCAGCTCGCTTCCATCCCCAGCAGAATCCCATCTGGCTGGTTGTCCTGGTGGCAACTATAAAAGTCCACCAGTAACCACCAGAGGTTTCACTCGTTTGTTGTTCGCCGTCGCGCGTGGTCGGTTGTTCGTTGAAAGAGTGGTGTTTGCTAGATAAGGGAAAAATAAGTGCACAACCCAAAAGGATACTCAATCAGGATACAATTTATAGCAATCAGAAGCAGCATCACAGGATTATCGAACAGTTGGATGGATTGAATTGAACTTTTCAGTGACAACTGTTGAATGTGATTATTCGTTGAAAGTGAGCAGTTCGGCTTTAAGGTGCTTTAAAAATAGTTGAGGTGAAGTAACGTGAGTTCATGGGACAGTGACTCCCTGGAGAGATAGATATACAGCAGTAAAACATCGGTCACACCTCTAAGGCACATGGTGACTGACCAATCATCGTTGAGCTTAGATGTACTAGATGGACAACGGGGGGCGTCTACCTGGAATGAGATCTGTAGACTGATTGGGCTTTGTGACCGCAGTTGTCTGTTTTGTATGTTCAGTGGAGCAGGTGCGATAACGAGGAAGGGAGTTAATGCACGTGTGTTTTCACTGGATCATGAACATGATGGATTTCCTCTGAAACAGGACTTCTACCTATGCTGCGCATGGAGCAAGGGTTACTGTACGAGTTTGGCGGAAGTGACATTTTTTTCAGTGCGCTAAAATAGAATCAACAGGTGGTTCAGTGTAACAGTGTGTGTGTGTTGGAAAAAGTCGAGATAAGGTGTCACTGACATGATTAATGATTGTTCTTGGAATAATACTTTACAAAACTTCGGGGATCAAAGCAAAGTGCTCCGAAAATGATTCGTTTACGATAAAAGGGATTTACTATATCATGAAACTTCAATTGCATTCAATGGAATTCAACAGGTGTATCAATTTTGGCTATAGTATACAACCCAATACAACCCGATATCGAGTTATTAAATATCGAGTTGTAGAGGGGGCTGTATTCTTTCGCTCGGAGTTAATTTTTATTTGCCGGGCTGAGATAAACACAGGCTGTTTGGATATTCAAATGATCTACACACTAATAAAATGACTGATAATTGATTTTTAAGGTGGTTACTAGACTGATGCAAAATTTGACTTTTTCGCTCCACAGTGCTTAAATGGTTTCAAATCGGGTCGTGATTAGCCTCCAAAAGCTACAACTCATTTGGTTAGAAACAGACTTCGCACAAACCATTTGAAGTTTACATGTAAATTACTATGGGAAATCTCAACTTTTTGTTCATTGCCTTCTAGTCTTTTTCCATATTGAGCTGCAAAATAACTCGATAGCTATTCTTATAGAAAATTTTTTCAGCTACAACTTTGCTGAAGATCGTTTCTATGTAAAACGAGACAGGAAATAGTTATTAATTATTTAAGATATTGGTAAATTTATGACATGATCAAGCAGCTGCTCTGTAGGTAACACTGTATTTTGCAGTGTGACATAGTAGCCATAATTTGGTTACCCTTTAAATTCCCCAATGAATTATTAAAAGGATTACATTTTATTACAATTTCATAGGTTAGAAGATTCTAAGAGCACATCAAAATAGAATCAGGAAATCCTTCTTTTAGAGTAAGGATACATTTAGGGATTCAATAGTCTTCTATGGAATGATCTGAGGAGTTGCCTTTCAGGAAAAGCTTGACGTACTTATGGAAAAAGTTGATATTGGTAAGGTGGAATTAAAATTTCATAAAATAATTGATTTATGATGAAGAATTTGCTAAAATATTGGATATTTAAACATATTCAAATAAATTTAAGGCCAATGAAGTTTGGTATGATAAAAAACTATTCTCATATACGATTATAATGAAAATACTGTAAGTGAATTTAATGGACTGAAATAATTATTTTACGTAAATAGATTCCTGTTGGAATATATAATTTTTGTTTTAAACAGAAATCAAATATTGTGTAACGTTCTGAACGATAAATTTTTAAAAACATCTGAGATATTTTTTTTATCTATGTTAAGAAACTCGAAAATATTCAAGCTTAGGTTCTTGGTTTTTGGCGATATCATAAATTATCCTAGATCCAAGAATATTGATTTTTTTTTATGTATTGTTAAAAAATCAAAGTTACACTTTTTCTTCCAAATTAAAAAAAAAAGTTCTGAGCTCAGGACTGAAATTTTTTTTACGACCGCAGATTCAGAATCCTTTATCTTAATTATTTGTAAGTTTATGATGCTAAAAGTTTTCTATCACGACGATTTTGAAAACTTTTCTAGCTCTAAGATGATTGTTTTCAAAGTTCTAGAACGCTAAACAAATTTTATTCTAGACAGAGATCTCAACAATTTTACAATTTTTCAGGATCTTGAATTTTTTATAGTTCTCTTAGTAAACAATTTTATCAAAACTTTGAATTAAAAAAATAAGCTTCCAAATCAGTTTTTTTTTCAAACTCTGGAATTACTCTTACATTTTTGATAACCAAGATCTGAAATCGTTGTCTCAATTTTGAAAAAAAAAATGTTGAAGATATTGTTGCTTTTATTCAAGCTCCGAGATTTAAAGATTTTTTTTTATTCAAAATCTTTTTCAAGTTCATGTCCGAGGTTCAGACTCTGGAATGTTTTCCTCAATCTGGGATATCAAATATTTTTAAGCCTCAGAATCTTGTTCAGGGTAAAGTCATTTTTTTATGCATTTTTGGTTTAGAACCTTAGGGGCAAGACAGCTGTTCTCAGAGTAAATATATTTGCAGCGAGTAAATTTGAGTAACTCACATTTACTCAAAATTATCAAAGTAGCCTCGAATTTCTGATCAAAGAAAATAAGGTATGACAGCATATTTGATTAGTGGCGCCGGCGGTGTTGTGGTAAGCGTGATTACCTCTCACCCCCGCAGGCCTGGGTTCAATCCCAGTCGGCACCACCGGGATGTTCTGAGGCATAACATCTCTGATCACGCCATCCTTCGTAAGGGAAGTAAAACCGTTGGTCCCCGGTTCATGAGTTGATGGGTCGTTAGGTAGGGTCCAGATGTGGGAGCTGCCTCCCTAGCGTTGGCAGCATTGGTGCTCAGCACGGAAAACAAGATCGACGGAAAACAAATCAAGGAAAAAAATATTTACAATGCCTACGATGGATGTGCCGAATCTAATTTCGGCACAGTGAGCTGGGTGGCTTATCCCTTGCTTGGAAGCCTTGCAGGCGTCTTCCCTCGTTGGCGATAATTGACACGGATACCGAAATAACCGTGCCAAAAGGCGAATACTCCCAGGCTTCAGGTAATTGTTTTATGCCGGTACCTTTTGCTCAGATGAGCCGAATCGTCTCCTTGGTTTCGCTTTCGGTTGGGTATCGCAACATGTACAATGGCCAGCTACTTGCATGTTCTTTAACCACCTTCAGTTCCTTCCGCTTGTTTTTATACATGGCAAACTGGACTAGACACAAGGGCGATAGTTTTAGCTCCTTCACATTTTACGGATATCGAGTTCAATAAATGCGTAATGTCTTCCAATTCTTCATAACCTACAGTACTGTTGTAGATTTGTTATTGTACATATTACGACATATTTTACAACTAGTAAACAATACCAATTCGAATAATGCTGCTTTCGTTGACCGATGAGCTCAGTCCGCTCTTTTGCTTGGTTTATCGTCTTAACACATTGTTGTTGGCTGGGTACTCCATGCTCATCACCAGCAGTTTGATTCTCTGCCGGAATGTATCTTCTCAACCCGTTCTTGCTTACTGTGGCTGCTAACGTTTGCTGTACTCAAATGTCACTACCAGTAAAGCAGAACATCTCTAGCTGTTCGGCATAACCACCATAAAATCTTGAATTTCGTTTCGTTCACGTGCTATACGAAAGCGCATTTGCAGTTCGATCGCCAAAATGTCTTCGCGAGTGAGCATTGTTATTTCACCTGTTTTTTTATGTGGGGAAAAACATTTCCCAGAAGTAATCCTGCATAAGTGGACCGACAGTTTAATATTTTGCACTTTTGGAATATTAGGATAATATCTGAATTTCTAAACATATTACGCATAACACTGCTTTTAAGTTGTGTGGTTTTACAATTCGAATAGCTTATTCGTTTCTTGTTTTCTGTGCTCATCATTTTTTTGCTTGACAGCATCGGTCTCAATATAACACTCAGGTTGCTATGTGTATAAGATATTGAGCAACGCGAATTACTCAGATTTACACAAAATTAACTCCGATTTTACTCATGATCGCAAGCTGCCTTACCCCCAGCTTCCAACCTTACTTTCTTAGAGCAAATAATAGAATCTGTTTTTGAACTGATTCAATGCGGTTTCTATGAGTATATTGAACTCATACACTACAGTACTCAAGGAGGTGCCTCACGCATGCAACGCATAATGTTTTAATTGTATATGGATCATTGAAATGATAATTAAAGCCTTTAATAAACCCTAGCATGTTGCTTGCCTTATAGATAATATTACAGTCGTACCACGATATAAAGCAACGTTACGTTATATCGAGTTACGTTATATCGAAGCAAAAAAAAAATATTTTTTTTTAAATCGAAAATTGTTTATCGTAACCCAAATGTGACCTAATTTTTTTCTAGTCATCTAAAATTTTCCCCAATTTTATTAGATAAGTTCCCAAAGCTAACATGAAAGATATGAAAATGAAAAAAAAAAGTACTAGAGTCGGTGCCTAGGGCACGAACGGAAGGTTGATATAGGACAGCGATTGGTCGGTACACTTGTTTCTGTGCTTAGTTCTTTTAAAGGGCGAACACGAAATTATTGCGACACCGAAAATGTCATGCCAATTTTCTTATAATGTTTAGAATCAAACCAAAATTTAAGGGTAGTTTTATACATATATTTACTTCAAAAATCAAAAGAAAAGTTAATCGATGGAGCCTTGAGTGTAAAATTGAACGCATTTTCACTTGATGCCCTCCATCAAAGTCTTTACAGTGTCATCCGGTACCAGTTTCTCAGTTTTTTTTTCCATTTTCTTAACATGTCCTTCTCGTCTTTGACTGTCTTCTTGCTCTTCCGAAGTTCCCGCTTCATTATTGCCCAGTACTGCTCCACCGGGCGCAGCTCCGGACAGTTTGGCGGATTCATGTCCTTTGGAACAAAATGGACAGAATTGGCCTCATACCACTCCAGGACACTTTTAGAATAGTGGCATGATGCCAAATCTGGCCAAAATAGCGGAGCTTCGTCGTGCTGCTGCAAGAACGGCAAAAGGCGCTTCTCGAGGCACTCAGATTTGTAGATCTCGCCATTTACTGTGCCCTTTGTCACGAAAGGCTCACTCCTCAGTCCGCAAGAGCAGATGGCCTGCCAAATGAGATATTTGGAGGCGAACTTCGACATTTTCTTCTTCTTAAATTTGTCGTCCACATCGAGCTTGCTCTTGCCGGTGAAAAACTCCAACCCCGGAATTTGCTTAAAATCGGCTTTTATATACGTTTCGTCGTCCATCACACAGCAGCCATATTTTGTCAGCATCTTCTCGTAGAGCTTCCGTGCCCGAGTTTTAGCCGTCGATTGTTACCGCTCATCGCGGTTTGGGAAGTTCTGTACCTTGTATATATGTAGCCCAGCTCTCTTCTTTGCATTCTGGACGTAGCTCTGCGACATGCCGATCTTTTTAGCCAAATCACGGCTTGAGACGTTGGGATTTGCTTTAATCATCCGCTTCACCTTTCCCTCCGTCTTTTTGTTCTCCGGTCCCGGTTTTCTTCCAGCTTCTTTGCCGTGGTCCAACGTCAACCGCTCCTGGAACCGCTTCAACACTCTGGAGACGGTTGAATGGTGAATGTTCAACATTTTTCCCAACTGCCGGTGCGACAGGTCAGGAAATTCCAGGTGTTTGGAAAGAATTTGTTCTCTCAACTCGCGTTGGTTCACCTCCATTTTCGTTGAATCGAAAAACACAACTTCGAGTTTGACAGCATGTACACAATACACATCAATGAGAAAGTGTGCAAAATTTGGTTGATTTTTACCCAATGGTAAAAAAGTTAATTTCGTGTTCGCCTGGGCTTCAATCCCAGTCGGTGCCTGTGGGGTATTTCTGAGGCATAAAATCTCTGATCACGAAGGGAAGTAAAGCCGTTGGTCCCCGGTCCATGAGTTGATGGGTCAATAAGGTAGGGTCCAGGTGTGGGAGCTGGCTTCCTGGCGTCGGTAGCACTGGTATTCAGTACGGAAAACAAGATCGACGGAAAACAAATGAAGGAAAAAAAGTAAATCAACTTTTTAGTACAACCGCTGCATTGTTTTAATATTACCGATGAGTTTTCTACCGGGGTCTCAAAGCCTAGTCAGTAAAGGCACGGTATAACCAAGCCAGAGGCGGTGGGTTCGATTCCCGGTCCATTGAGGCGAATCTAGGTGCCTAATGAAACATGCCACACAAGGAAGAAGTGTTAGTTTGTGATGTTCGTGCGAGAGAATATAGATTCATCCCATCCGTTCGCGATTCTGATTAGTACGCGACATATTCATATTTTAATTGTTCAATTTCTTAATTGTTCAATTTCTTAATTGTTCAATTGTTCTATTTTCACTATTTGTACTATACATACATCAAAAAACTAAAAGGGACAGCCCTATGGGGTTGTACGCAATGGTGACGTAGGACTACGTGGTCTTATATGAAAAATGTTATTTGTTCACTGCAGATGGAGCTTTTTAACAAATTGATAGCGGTCCAGAAAAGGACCGTTTTGTCGTGATGATTGAGTAATGGTGACCTACTATTAGGGTGTTCAACACTGATGAAGCTAACGTGCTGTATGTTGTTTGGAACGAGGTTGACGCACTTGGCATAGATGGCCCACAGCGGCTCACGACGCGCAACTGAATCCGATCAGTAGCGGTGTGGCTTCTTCTTCTTTCTTCGGTGAATCCAGGGCTCTTGTGGGCAGCTTTGATAGCTAGCTGCTTGCGGGCAGCCTTTCATTATGTACTGGAAAACGCCACGCGCCGAAAGCACTGCTGCTGCTGCTGATGACGATCGGACACCACCATTCACCACGCACGTTGATTGAGTAAACACCGTTCGGCGAGACAGGAGGGAATTCGATTTTTAAATCTGTATTAAGGAACAGGGAATCAAGAAAATGTTATCTTCCGATGCTTACCGACGATAAAAATACTAGTCAACGGAATCATGATCAGTGTACAGTAAGATCATGGATTATCATTTGTGTTACACATCATGATCAGCAACAAAAACGATAATCTACTGATATGATAACAATCACTTTGTAACGTATCTCAAAATCTAGGAACTTGCTGACTTTGGAAAAGTTGTTCTAGAGGTCAAATACCCTACAATACGGATATTTTTGGAATCGGGATGACACATATATTTTGAAAATCAATTTAGGTCGCCATTTCGAAATCCGTCATCTCGGCCGTTGGTTTCGGGAAAAAAAACTGTCAAATACCCTACAATATGGGTGTTTCTGGTACTGGAATAATGTGTAGATGTTGAAAATCGATGTCAACCGCCATTTTGGAATCAATTTGGTGACCTTTGGTTTTAAATAGAACTGACAAATACACTAGTCAACATGGAGGCCGACATCAATTTTAAACATCCACACGTCATCCCGGTTTAAAAAATTCCCACATTGTAGGAAAAAGTTGTTTCTAAAATCAATAGCCGCCATCTTGGATTCCCAAATAGCGGCAGATATTAATTTTCTACATCTGCATGCTATCCCTGTTCCGAAAATACCCACATTGCAGGGTAATCTTGCATTTCCAAATGGTGGCGGACATCAATTTTCGACAGGTTTTTCTTAAATCGATAGCCACCATCTTGGATTTCATAATGGCGGCAAACATCGATTTTCGATATCTATACGTCATCCTCATTGCGAAAATTCACACATATAGGGTATTTGATTAGCCTTGTCTTAAATTGGGAATTTTCAGTGACGAGAGCTGATGATGATGATCTGAGATTATCGCTTTTTCATATGATCATGATCTGTTACACAAATGATAATCGCATTATCGTTTCCAGAACTGTCCATTGTGATTTATGGAGTTGTACTAATCATGAGTGTAACCAAAATGAGAATGCCATTATCTTTATCTGAATCGTTCATTTTGATTCCCTGTTAAGGAATGCGCTTTTTGCAGGCAATCGGTGATAATTTTGATCGCCATCGCAACAGTTGCACATTCGTGCAATTTTCAATAGTAACCTTTTGTAAATTGATAGTCTTATTCTCATTTGTAGAAAAATTTCCAATCGATTGGCGTTTACGAATTAAAATCCATCTCCATCTCTGGGTCCAAATCAAACCACTTTCATGCCGCGACCAACTTTGGTTTTTTTAATTGTGGGTTGTCTTAAAAATACATGGTATGTTAGATTGAAACTAATGAGAACTGTTATCCGATTAATGACCTTGAGACATTTCCAGAAAATACTCTTTAACAAATTTATGGTGGTCCTGAAAAGGAACGTTTTGTCGTAATGGTTGAGTAATGCTGAGCTACTATTAGGGTGTTCGATACAGATAAAGCTGGCGAGCTGTATGTTGTTAGACTTAAAAAAAAGTTACGTTATATCGAGGTGGAAGTTACGTTATATCGAGGTTGCTTCATATCGAGGTATGACTGTATTACATATTATGTTCAACAAAGCTTAATTTAGAATCTATTATAACACCTAAATCTCTAACTTGATTGTACCTTTCAACTCTTTTTTGTCCTATTGTTATATTTTCTTGCCTAATAATTTGCTTTATTGTAAATGCAATGAAATTACATTTCTTCACATTAAGCTTTAATAAACTTTTTGTGCACCAAGTGTAAAAGTTATAATTTTTTTGTTGAAATACTACAAGGTCAGACGCTTCACGAATTTCCAGGAAAAGTTTCATGTCGTTTGTATATATTGAGACATTAAGGATATTCAATATGTGCTCTACATCATTAACAAATATAATAGTCAGTAATGGTCCAAGATGGGAACCTTCTGGCACACCAGATGTTACATTATATACTGACGATAAATCTCCTTCAAATCTAACTCTTTGTGTCCTACCGGTCAATTATGACTGAATCCACTTTAATCTGGTCTTTAGATAATAGAATAACCAGCATTTCGCTGTAAACATTATTTAAGTTGATTGAATTTTAAGCTAATAATAGCTTATTTTAATAATGAGGATAGTTAGCAGAACAATTAACCAATCTCCTGAAATCATATAAACAATATCAAACATATTTCAAATATGTTTTATAACAATATTTATGTTTTATTATTCAACAATTGAACACTGATTAGCATTGCCTCCTGTTCCCAGCCACTGCCTTCAGGGTTAGATTTGAATAATGAGTCAGAAACAAGTTTTTAAGCAATCGTTAAAAAACATCGATGTCGGTAGTCGTTCATTGCCTTCCATTCACTTGCAGACCGAATCGTAAATGCTCAAGAACAATGAAATCTTAATTATACCAGTGATATTTGCGGCCCGGCAGTGATACTTGTGAGTCTTCCGGCAACCATGCAGCGAAAACCGTTCCGCACCCCGGTCATTGTACTGTTGTGCCACTACTGTGTCTTCTCGTTCTGTGTAAGAGGGAAGCCGACTACCGCGTCGGAGGACACAGATATGACACTGCTGCTAAACAATCTCAGTGAATCGGCCCGAGAACGTCCGGTCGATGTGTCGTACTTTGAGGACGACGAGCTGAGCCTAGCTATTATGCTGGGAGGAACCAGTTCGTCCGGCGGAGCTAGCGGCCACCGAAATGCCAAACGGTCCGCCGATTGGATAAACCGTATCGAGACACAGGATGAGGACCTAGGTGCTAATTACACCATCTACAACGTTGGAGTCCTGATGGCGTCCCATTTGGGTATGTTTCCGTTGTGTGTTGGCATGGTATGTGTTGGATTTGCTTCATTATGGAGTGTAATGAGCTTAATTAATACTTGTTTCATTTATTACTCGCTTCAGTGGCCGAAAGGTAATCAAATCTTTGTACATGTCCATTTGCAGATTCGCCATTTGATTTGGAACGATGTGGGCCAGCCGTAGATTTAGCGTTAGATTTTATAAATGATTTCTTAGGAAAGACGCACAATACCAAGCTACGGAAAGTTCAAAAAAGGTAAGGACCATACCAAATAAACAAAAAAATACCATGAAAAGTGCTTAACGCGGTGTGACTTAATTTTACCATTTTGTTTATCGTTCGTTTATGGTTTCCGTTTAATAGGCATACTTATCGTTTTCTGTATACTATAATCCGAACAGTGATGGAAAAGTTCATCAAAGTTCCCTATGACTCACGAACTTTTCCCTTGGTGAACTTCGTGAAATATCGTGAACTTTTCCAACACTGAATCCGAATAGAGAAGACGGACTGTGAAAATCATCTAACCTAGTGTTACCTCATATTAACATCGTAAACTCAACCAAAACGGCTCTCCATGTTGTTTAAATTTCAAACTTCTCCACTATCGCTGGCATTTTCCAGAGAACGTGCCCTGGTTTAATGTCTCAACGAGACCAACGCGGAACAGGTGGGTCATTGAGGACAGTGCTTTCCACTTCGAAGATGAAAAAAAGCACTCACACGTTCGAGCTCAAACGTGCTAGGGTCGTTATCATCTTGTCAGCCAACCAAACTATATTCAACAGACTATGCTAGTGCCACGAACTGTCTGCTATTACCATGGTTGAGGGACGAATACATTTTTGCAAATTAGTGGCTACGGTGTTGTAACTGAAGCACTATAGGAGTCTACCAACCAAATAATATTCTTCTGAAGCATATCGTTACCCTTGTGTTCCCTGGAAATGATCCGAATGTTGTTGAATATTAATTCATACACTCAACAGGCAAATGGGACTGGGACTGTTGGATCAGAGGATTTTTGTGTTTGATCACATGTTCGGATTTGGGCTGTATAATTTTGCATTTCTTTCAATTTCGGAAATGATAGGCTAGTCCTTGAAATAGAAAGTAAAGGAGGCTGACTTGTGGAAATCATCAAGCATATTCAAATAGTCGGTGGCCTATTACAATCCGGATGATGACACTTGTATTCCGTCCATTCCTTTTTCGCTGGCTGCACCCTGGAAAGTGGGCAATTCAAAGCTCCTAGTCCCCTGTGCGACCGTCAGTTGGGACGTCGTCCTTTCCTCCATCATTTGTCGGCTTCATAACGAATGCAAACACATTTATGAGAAGCTCAAACAAATCGCTCTATCAAATGCCACTCAGTCAACGCCGCCAGTCTGACACGACGACCGGGTGATAGCTCGAGCAGAACGAAGCAGAAGTGTCACATCCTTATCATAACGTATCGTCGGATGTGTGTGTGTGTGTGCTTTGCGGTCGATGAATGCTTCCGGAGAAAATTCTTTTTATTACCCCATCACCACCGTATAAATAAATCCCGACACTGCAAACACTTTTTCGCACCATTTCGTATCCTAATTCAACACTGAATACGTTCCGCTAGGTCATTAATCGCCTCTCGGGATAATTATGGGACCAGTCTCTTATGGATGTGTCATCACTTTCGCTCATAGAAGACCGTGAACCATTAGTTAGTTTTTTCCCTCTAGATTCGTTAGACGTAGTTCACACCCCGGGACGATAATTCCCATAGACGGTAAAAGGTTTCAGAACCAGAAACACGGATATCAAGATATTAACTAGTCAACAATTAAAAGCCGGAACACTATAGGATCTAGGGTGAATTGGCCTATTATCGAACCCCTAGTAGCTGATTAGTAATTTACGTTAAAATCATGATTCAAAGGAATTCTCGGACTTTTCCGTTAATACGACCGATCAAGCGGCACACAACGTTCTCTTCCACTGTTTTAACGATTTTATCCCACCATTTTTTCATCTGAGCTGCCGTTTTGATGACTGTACCTTTTACCTTCAGTTTCCTCTCCATAATTGCCCAGTAGTTTTCAATGGGCCTGAACTGGGGACAATTGGACGGATTGAAGGTTTTCGGAACAAACTGGACTCCGTTGTCATTGAACCATTGTTGTACTTGCCGGCTGTAGTGACAACTCGTAAGATCCGGCCAAAATGTCACCGGACCATCATTTGATTGGATGAAGTTCATCATTTTCTCAGTGACGAAAACCTTTGTCTTCTGGCCTGCCAGATCAAATTCTTGCGTGTGGGACACCTCCTCGAGCCTTCGCCTTGTAAAATTTTGGTCCTGGAAGCTGTTCGAAGTCGGCTGTAGGGATTTTTTTTATTATTTATTTTATTATTTATTTGTCGTCAATCAGTGTAGACCGTTTTACAATAGTGCTGTTGCCTTACATGCTATTTTAAAACATACGTTTTATTTGAAATTGTCAGCAAATGTAGACTGCATATACAAATATCTAAAAAAATAAAAATTGTTTTAAACTTAACGAAATGAAATCCTAGCAGTTAGTGTTCTCCTTACTGTATCTTTAGACATCGTTAGATCTATATGCTCACAATAATTATTATACACTCTCATCATTCTCTTAATTGGTCCATTTTTACTATAATTCGTTCTGTGAGGTGACAGTTGAAATACATTTCGAGTTCTTAACATGCGTGATGGTACGTAAAAATTTAATCTTGCTAATATTTTTTCTGAATTTACGCGTTGTGAGATAATATCATTGACAAAGGAAATCATGGAAATTTCTCTTCGTTTCTTAAGTGTTTCAATGTTTATCAACATGCAACGGGACTCATAAGAAGGAAGGGGAAAAGAGGTCCAGCCTAGTTTCCTAAGAGCAAATAACAAAAACTGTTTTTGAACTGATTCCATACGATTTATATAAGTTTCATGGTATGGAGCCCAAACCACACTGCAGTATTCGAGAATTGATCTCACGTAAGCTATATAAAGTGTTTTGATGGTATATGGGTCTTTAAAATGATAACTAAATCTTTTTATGAATCCCAACATATTATTTGCTTTGTGAATTGTGGTATTCACATGATCTACAAATGTCAACTTCGAGTCAAGAATTACTCCTAAGTCCCTAATTTTATCGCACCTTACAACCAGCTGGTTTCCTAGAGTACATGTAAAATCTAGAGTAGTGTTTTTTCTGGAATATGATATAATATTGCATTTTTTAACATTAATATCCAGCAGACTTTTAACGCACCAGTTGTAGAAAACATCAATTTCATTTTTAAAATGTAGCAAATCAGAATTGTCAAAGATTTCCATGTACAGTTTCATATCGTCAGCATATATGAGCACATTTAAACGATTTATCACAAACTTCACGTCATCCACAAATAAAATAAATAATAAAGGACCTAAATGAGATCCCTGTGGAACTCCCGAGGTAACATTAACTGGCGAAGATATTTTTCCTTTAAAGCGGACCATCTGTGTTCTTTCTATCAAGTATGATCCAATCCATTTTAAAGGTGTACTTGTCATACCTAAACGTTTTAATTTAAAAAGAAGTAAGGGAATGTCTACTCTGTCAAAGGCCTTACTAAAGTCAGTGTATAAGGTTTCAACGGTATTACCTCTATCCATTGCTTCAATAGAAAAGTTTACAAATTCCAACAGATTAGTAGACGTTGACCGACCTTTAAAAAAACCATGTTGATTATTTGAAATGCGATGCTTAACCTGGTTAAATATTTTCTGGTTAACAATTGCTTCAAACATTTTAGGAATGCATGACATGATTGCAATACCTCTATAGTTTTTAATATCTGACCGTTTGCCAGATTTAAATATTGGAACTAAAAATGATTTCTTCCAAATTTTTGGAAAATCACCTGTTTTGAGAGATAAATTGTAAAGCCAAAACAATGGTTTAACAAAACTTGTTGCTATTTTTTTCAATAAAAATGGAGGTATTTCATCAGGACCAGGTCCTTTGCCAGCATCGAGACTTTCAAAAGTCATAAAAATTTCTTTAACAGTGATATTTTTAACTGATACGTCGTTTTCCCCTTCATGTAGGTAAGAAAAATAGTTCAAATCGAGAGCATTACTGGATTTCTTATATGTGTTTTGGAAAAAACGAGCAAATAGGTTACAAATATCCACACTATCAGTGCTATCACACTCTTCAAACTGCATGCGTGATGGGAATGTACATGACTTCATTTTTTCGTTCGCGAAGTTAAAGAACGTTTTGGGATCTGATTTTATATTGTTCTCTACTCTTGAATTGTAATTCTCATATGATGACGATATTTCTGCCTCAAGTACTCCGCAAATTTTAACGTATTTTTCTAAATTTTGTGACGTTTTAAACTTTTTATACGCCTTGTGTGCTTTTTGCTTCCTGTTTTTAATATTTCTGATTTCTTGTGTATACCACACAGGATATTTGGTGCTGTTCACTATTCTCTGTTGTCTTTTAGGAACGAATTCTTCAATAATATTGTATAAGTTAGTATAAAATATGTCAACAGCCTTGTCCATGTTGTTTTCATCTTTTAAAAGGTTTTGCCAACTTATGTTATTCAGTCTGTTGTTAAATTCAGGAACATTTGCATTTTTAAAATCATAAACTAATTCAAAATCAACAACGCTTGGGCGTGACCGATGCGAGTCTGTGAACACTGAGTATTCAATAGCCGTATGAAATTTTTCATTCTTCCATAATGGAACTGCTGCTTCTACAATACAAAAATCTTCTGTACAATTAGTAAACATAAGATCCAAATAGGAATTGAGCTGGTTACGAACATGGTTAATTTGATGAAGTCCCAAGTGGCTGCTTTTATCAAAGATGAATTGCAAAGTATCGTTTTCTCCTACAATTGGTAACAACAGAGAATCATTATCACTATCCTGTATAAAATTAACAGTATTCTGGTTAAAATCTCCATAAATATGAATTTTGGTTCTTGGATCTTCTCTTTGAATTTTCAGTTCTGCAGCAGTGAAAAACTTTTCGTAAGCTGGTTTTTTGGAAAAGTGTGGAGGAAAGTAGACAGAAGCGAAAAGATGTTCTTCGTCGTTTATTAAAATTTCAACCCACACATCTTCAAATTCTTTTTGGCTTTCACTAACAATTTGTTCAGCTTGAATTATAGCATTCACAGCAATAAGTACACCACCACCTGATTTTTTACCTGATAATGATAAATCGCGGTCACATCGAAAA